AAAGCAGGCTCCCCGCTGAGCAGAGAGCCTGATGCGGGCCTCAATCCCAGGACCCTAAGATCATGACCTGAGCCGAAGGCAGAGGCTCAACCCACTGAGCCACCCAGGTGCCCTGTGATGTGATTTGTAAGACACAACAGTCCTTGTAAAACCTTTAAATAGCTCTATTTAAATATTTAAAAAATATTCATCACAATATTCATTTTGAAGTTATCAATAAAAATGTTTTACAGAAATAGGATATAGCATATACAATATATGAAAACATCTAGATAATTAAATTGTCTGCTTTGATAGCTTCATTAGCTATCCAGTATCTATAACCAAAGCCCTTACTGCATGACATACAAAAGGCTTTGAGGCCAGGTACATACCAGTTTCATTTCCTGCCACATTCTTTTTTTTTTCTTCCCCCTCTACATCTCTGTTCTACTTTTCTGCCCGAAATGTTCTTTCTACTTCTCCTTAAATGGCTAAGTCTTCTCATACACCCTTCATATCTCAGCATAGAAGGTCACCTCACCCAGGAAGCTTTGCCTAAAACCCACAGGTTGGTTTAAACGCCTCTCCTTTACCTTTCAAACAGGAGGAACAGGACGACCCTCAACACACTTCTTTACTTCAACGTGTAACATGTTAGACAACAATTCTCTTTAGTGTCTAAAGGGCAACAACATTTGTTTTTGTGTCTAAATTCTTAATGGGGTATCTGGCACCCGGTAGGAATTTTTTTTAATGTTTCATGAACTGAGTTATAAGAATTATGAAATATAGCACCACGAGTTTTTAGGTGAATCTTGTACCTTCAAGGGTTCAGCAAAACTTGAGGTTCATCTTGAAATTATAGCATTGGAGCTTCAAGCACCATAGTCTCTGCTTAATCAATATTTGGCTAAATAAAATAAGAAATGTTCTAAATTGCTATTAGAGAATTTCAGTTCTAAATGGGATAGTCATAAAGCCTAGAAATATGGATAACAATGTTTTATCATATATTGTAATGTAATACCAACAGATCATTTGTTTTGTATTTACCTGTCTTTCCAGACTAGGTGACCACCCGTTTTTATGTGAATAACAACTTCAGCTAAAAATATCAGTATTTTAAAAGCTATCTCATTCAAGAAATTCAGATATTTGTCCTGCTAAGGACCGACAAATCTTCATGATCATGAAGTAAATTCAAAAAGCAACAGCAAATGAAGAAAGGCACAAGACTGGGGCACCTGGGTGGCTCAGATGGTTAAGCATCTGCCTTCATCTCAGGTCAGTCTGCTTCTCCCTCTGCCTCTCTCCCCTGCTCATGCTCTCACTCAAATGAATTAATAAAGTCTTTAAAAAAAAAAAAAGAAAGAAAGGCACAAGATTATAGGGAAACAACTCCTTTGTATGTCAGCATTTTATAGCTACCAAGTTTTCCCTAGGAAACAGAGGAACTGGAGATTTATCTAGCATCCATCAACATAAGGAAAGAACTTTCTGCTAGTGTGGCAGAAGAATCCATTTTTAGTCATTGAACAGAAATAAAGGTATTAGTGTAGAGATAAGGATGAAGATGATTTTCAATTTCCAGGAAGAGACTATATTCCTTCTACTAATTGTATTCTAAAAAAGGTTTTGTTTGTTTGTTTGCTTCTAAAGATTGAATAGGAAGTCAAGAATTTAATTATTTGAAAATCACAAAAGGAAGCCAGCTAACTAACTCTAGCCCAACTAGTCAGTATATACAACCCAAGGGCTGACGTTCCAGGTAACAACCCCAGGCCTGATTCTATGCCTTCCTTCAGAAGGAAAATTAAACCCTGTAGTTGTGAACCAGGATAGGAAGATGTTGAAAAACAGAAATAAAGTGGACCAACAAACACACAGTGCTCGTCGTTCATCAGATGGAAAATTAAGTTTCTATTGTAAAATAAAGTACTATTTACTGACTGCACTGCTAAAGTACTGTTTGTTCAGTAGCCATTACAATGTAAAATGGGATATGATCCTTTAAGGATTTAAAGATGAAATTACCATCTCACTGTTATTATCAAAAGTTTTAAATGCTTAAAGTATAACTATGCCTTCTTTGGGTGAAGAAGTTGCAAAGGGTCAGGGATGCACCAAAACACACATATAAATGTTAGATGAAACTGATTAATTTAGATGTTTAAAGTGGCATTGAAGTTCAAGGTTAAATGTTATTGGAAAAAATGATAAATAAATCAAGGAAATTTTTAAAAATTTAAATAGGTCTTGAAAATTGCAGCATCACCACATACATTAAAAAATTTGTAACTTAATTTATAAGCAAATTTGTTAATTGAAAGAGTCAAAGAAATATCCTTTGAAAATAATCTATCACAGAATATAAACTACTTAAAATAAAATCATAGAATTTTGTCATCAATATGGTGGCAAACTAAAGCAACTAAAATACTTAAAAGTTTTCCCAAGGGGAAAGGAAGTACATAAATGACTGTTACTGTTTCCCACAGAATGCAAAAGAATTCTTTAAAAAAAAAAGGATCAAAATCCTTTAAAAGCAGTAAATCTAAGAGCACTGTTCTTAGCTGCAAATTTTGTATACAGGAAATATGCACTACAATATATTACACATGCAATTTTGAGACAATTTTAGGATTTAGTGAAAGTGTTAGGAATTGATTTCCTTGATTCATGGATTTTAAATTGTGTCTCTTGAGTACAACAAATTTTTTATAAGGATGGTCTCTCATAATAATCAAACATTCAAAACAAAGTTTTTGAAATATGTGTAAGTATTTACTTAACACCAGTAAAGCACTGCCAACGCAAGCTTAAAAATAAAAATTGTTTGATTAGAAACATGCCATAAAATGCTTGTGTCTTGGGGTGCCTGGGTGGCTCAGTGGGTTGGGCCGCTGCCTTCGGCTCCAGTGATGGTCTCAGGGTTCTAGGATGGAGCCCCACTTCCGGCTCTCTGCTTAGCGGGGGGCCTGCCCTACCCCCTGTCTGCTGCTTTGCCTACTTGTGATCTTCTCTCTGTGTCAAATGGATAAATAAAATCTAAAAAAAAAAAAAAAAAAATGCTTGTGTCTTCTTCAGATTTGTTATTAATGTGCTGCCACGGTGATCAATTAGTCAAGGTTTGACTTTCCTAGAAACTGATTCTTTTTTTTTTTTTTTTAAAGATTTTATTTATTTGACAAATAGAGAGATCACAAGTAGGCAGAGAGGCAGGCAGAGAGAAAGGGAAAAGCAGGCTCCCTGCTGAGCAGAGGTCCTGATGCAGGACTGGATCCCGGGACCCTGAGATCATGACCCGAGCGGAAGGCAGAGATTTTAACCCACTGAGCCACTCAGGCGCCCGAAACTGATTCTGTCTTAACCAAATTGGAATTCACTGCTCAGAATACAAGAGCAACTACAGCCATTCTGTCCACACACACAAAAGAAATACTTTACAATTACTACACAAGTTTTACTCTTAACAAATATATTGCCATGTAAATATATTTCCTTTCAATTTTAGACCCATAATTTAGTAAATGATCTAAAATGCATACTATGTATCTCAAAAATAAAACTTTTAATAACTCCACTTATTGAAGTATCAGGAAATTTAAAAAAAAATGAAACATCTCACAGAAGGATGGATGGGGAAGAGAGATCTTAAATGAGGTCGCTGTTTCTATGGACCAACTTTTTAAAAAATACAAAGTTCTACGGTGATGTTATTTAATAAAATCAGTAGAAGTAGTTGAAAACTACTTCTGGACAGTTCCCGGTACACCAATAAAACAGCATATCAATGAGAAAAAAAGGTGTACTCGGCTGTCCTCTAACAAGCCCGCGCCGGTGGGCTCCTCCCGCGCGGTCGCGGACGCCGGCCCCGCTCGCGCCGTGCCCGGGCCGACCACGCGCTCCGCGCACGCGTCTCCGAGACGGCGCTTAAAGGGGCCGCGCCGGCGAACGCCACGGCAGGCCCCGCGCCGCACGGGTCCCGGAGGTGAACACGACGCCGGCCAAGCCGTGACTGCGACACACACACCTACTACCGGGAACCTGGGCCAGCATGGGGCTGTATTTTTTAAGTGTATTTTTCCTTCTTAATTTTAACTTGCAAGTCTGTGAGTGTCTCCCGGCCCATCACCGACGGGGGAGAGCAGCTGCCCGCGGCCGCCGGCACGCGGTCCCCGCCGGCTTCGCCTCCGCTTATCCCTCCCGGGGAACCCACCCGGGGCGCCTTCCCCGCAGTGCGACAAAGAGCCGAGCGAACTTCCACAGTCACCGCGGAGCTCTGTCGCTTCAGGGTGGCTCGTGCGCACGGAGGGGCTTTACACGGCGTCAAACAACACCGGATCGCTGAAATTTACCGAAAGAACGGAAATTCGTCCTCTCTCTTCGGGGCTGTACAGCGCCGTTCCCGAGCGGCGACGAGCCCAAACTTTGTGGGGACGGAAGGCAGCCGCGAGCGGGACGCGTCCACCAGTCCAGACGGGAACGCGTCCCGTGGCCACCACAGCTGTGCACAGGGAGGGTCAGGAAGGACCACATCGACGCGACGTGGAAAGGGGCGCGGGCCAGCCACGGGCGACGGGAACCCCGCGGGACGCGACGCGGGAGAGGCCGGGCCGGGGGTCGACGGCGCACACGCAGGCACGGACAGGCGCCCCCACTGAGGGGGGCTGCGAGGACCACCGCACGCCCCAGCGCCGAACCCCAGGGAAGCAGCAAGGCAGGACTGCAGCCGGGGAGCGGCGGGGAGCCGGGGCAGCCGGGGAGCCGGGGCAGCCGGGCCACCTGACGGGCGGCGGACCCGAGTCCACTCCGTCAGGCCGGGGATCCGGGTTCTGAGGAGACCCCGAATCCGCCCACACCGCCGGCATCCCTCCTCCGGACTTCTCCCGCGTTAGGGGTGGGGGGGTCTCCGTACCCAAGAGAAAGGGGGAGGGTTCAGGGATTCAGAGTCGCAGCCCCGAGCCCACCCACCAGCCGCGGCAGGACCGCGGTGGCGCGAAGCGAAAGGCACTGACCGCTCGGGCCGCAGCAGGTCCTCTCGGGGCTGCCCCCGCCAAGGGGGCTCCCGTCCCGCCCCGCGCCGGTGGCCACCACACGACTCGTTCTCCAGCTCTAGCCCAGTGAGGCGCCAGGGAGCTCCGAGCGCGGCAGGACCCACTTTTACTCTTCTGGACAGCGGCCAAAAGCGTGACCTGTTCCCCTGTGAGGTGGTTCCCGGCGACAGCAGGGTCCCGGGGCTTACAGTTGAGGTTTGAAAACTGCAGCCGCGTTGCGGGGCCGTGCTCTAAGCCAGACCCCACCTCGGAGGCCGGGAGAGCCAATCCGAGCGCGCACAGAGGGCGGGGCTATCACGTGACGGCTGGGGCGGGGCGCCGGCCGCGGCGCGTGCTGAGGGGCGGACTTGGGGGGCGGTGCCCAGAGCCGGAGAGGGTGTGGCCCGTGAGGCGGGAGGCCGGGCGCGGCGGCGGAGCAGGTGGGGCACGCGGGTAACTGCGGCGAGGGAGGGGTGAGACGGGCGAGGGAGGGGTGAGACGGGCGCTCGCCGCCGGGGTTGAGCCGCCGGCCTTAACTTGGACCAGGTGCTCCGTTCCCTGCCTTCAGAGCGGTCAGTCCGCGAGGCGCGAATATGTGCACACTGGCAAGAGGAAGAAATACAGTTAGCCCCAGCGGCTCACTCGTTCCCAGACTTCGGGACCCACCGGAGACGGGCTTCCTGACCCTCCCTAGTCACCTTCCCTGTGACGTGACACCACGCCGAGAGCGGAGACCCAGTTCGCGTCAGCCTGGCCAACATCAGCACCCCGTGGGGTTGTGGAGCCCGAGCCCGGCTGCTGCCGTTGGCCCGAGGAAGCGCCGGGCGTCCCGAGGCCGGGCGGAAGGCCGTGTACGGCGAGCCTGAAGAGGGCCAGTGGCTGACCTTCCATGTAGGGCGCTAAAGCGAGAGATGAAAGCCCGCGGCGGCCACTCAGGATCCGTCGTCCCTTGAAGAGAATGAAAAGGTTGCAAGTTCTGCGCAAGACACGATTGAATTTTTTTTAAAAAATATGTATAATCTAGGATTGGTTGCAGAGTATATTGACAGTAATTGGAGAAGATGACTAGGAAAATATGTCGGGAGAGAAATAGTTCTCTTTCAAAAGACTAACACTCGGGCAGTATTTATTATTTAAGATTTATTTATTCTAGAGAGAGAAAGTGTGTGAGCGTGAGAAGGGGCAGAAGGAGACGGGAAGAGAATTCTCAAGCAGATCCCCGCGGAGTGCTGAGCCCACCTGGGACTCATCCAAGGACCCTGAGATCATGACCTGAGACAGGAGTCAGCTGCCTAACCAACCGAGCTGCCCAAGGGCCCCCCGGTCAACATTTAAAGAGGAGGTTTTCTTGTTCTATCCCAGTAAGCCAAGCAAATTCCCATGAAGCCATCTGTTAACTCTTCCATACTGTATTTTTCTAAGATAAATGCATAAAATGCCTTATAATCACTTAATGAAGTCTGCTTGTTTTTACTTAACGGATTCATCCCAATTTAATGTGTCACTTGGAGAATCCTGCTTATATCTATCGAGTTTCTTGCTGCTAACAAATGAACTGACTAGAGAGGTCTATGGTTAGCATGGAAACAAACAACCGAAAAGCCACATGCTGAAATGGACTTTTCCGCTATCGTCATCTAAGTGTTCACAAACCAGTAAGACTTTTCCCATTTTTCTTTTTTGAACACTGGGGTGGCATCCCAGAGGTCTCAGTACCATCACTGGAACCAGTAATCTCTGGGAATCACAAATATCATCAGAATGATTTTGGGTATGTGTGTGTGTAATGCTAGAACTCCTCAATTACATTTGATCAATTGCCAGCTCTTAATCTCTATACACTCAATCTGCTTTCTCCTCTGTCACCAACCCAGTCACATGTCACTTCACACCTAGAGGCAGACCTTCCTCCATCACTGCTTTAAACCAACCCTCCTTACTCACAAGCCCTGGGCTCTAACCATCAGCTTCTAGAGGATCTTTTCATATCTTGCATTTCCTGCCCCTGCCTTGCCTCCAGATTTTCACCGTCTCCTCATCAGCACCTGCTCACCAATTTTCAACTATAAGAAGGCTTCCCTCTCCAGAAATCAGAAATCTTTGCTGATTTCTCCTTTCCACTCTCAGCCTGATCACCTCTTTGCCTTATTGCTTAGTACAGGGCTCATACTGTATTTTTTCCATATGTTTCTTTTATGCCCCTAAATAGATTCTTAACCCTTGTGCCTAATGTCAGATTTGCCAGCCAGGATTTAGCACATTATCCCAAAGAGATTCAGCTATACTTGCTTGGCCTCAGGCACTGTGGTTCAAGTAACAGGGACTTCCTGGTGTTGAGAAGTGGACTGTGCCATCTGTGGCCTTACAATAAAATTCAGGAGTCAGTTATGTCCCTTCATCCAATTGCATTTACCTAAAGTCATTCATAACCTTATCAAAGATGCATGTTTTGTTCTCATTCCTTTGAGTAGGAAGTCTTCATGTGACCTGATGGTCATTTTGTGGGCATTGCGTCTGACCACACAGTTCATTAAATTGATCCTCAGATGCCACATACTGACCACGGATGGTGGTTGCTATGGGCTTTGTACCTGCCAAACCCGTATGTTGAAGTCCTAATCCCCAGGACCTCAGAATGTGACTGTATTTGGAGATCAGGCCTCTAAAGACATAATTGGAATAAAATGAGATTATATAGATGTGAGGTAATCCAGGATGAAGAGACTACACCATCAACAAAATGAAAAGGCAACCTATTGAAACAGGAGGAAATATTTGCAAATCATGTGTCTGGCAAGGTGTTAACATTCAAAATATGGAAAGAGCTCGCACAACCTCATAGCAAAAAACAATCTGATTTTATTTTTTTTTAATTTTTTTAAATGATTTTATTTATTTATTTGAGAGAGAGAAAGAGAGAAAGCGAGCATGAGAGGAGAGAGATCAGCGGGAGAAGCAGACTCCCTGCCGAGCAGGGAGTCCAATGTGGGACTCGATCCCAGGACTCCAGGATCATGACCTGAGCCGAAGGCAGTCGCTTAACCAACTGAGCCACCATGAGCAGTAGATCTGAATTTAAGAAGTCATACATGTGGCCAACAGGTAAATGAAAAGATGCTCAACATCACTAATCATCAGGGAAATGTAAATCAAAACCACAATGAGATGTTACCTCATGCCAATCAGAACGGTGATTATCAAAAAGACAAAAAAAGGAGCAAGTATTGGTGAAGATGTGGGGGACAGGGGAACCTGTGTGAACTATGTAAATTGGTACAGTCACTATGAAAAGTATGGAGGGTTCTCAAAAAATTAAAATATGCCTACTATATGATCCAGTAATTCCACTTCTGAGTATCCAAAGAAAACAAAAACATCAACTCAGAAGGATATATTCACTCCCATGTTCACTGCAGCATTATCTATAGTAGCCAAGATATGGAAACAACCTAAGTGTCCACCAGTGGATGAATGGTTAAATTGTGATACAAATACAACGTAATACTATTTGTTCATAAAAAGGAATAAAATCTTGCCATTTGCAACAATATAGATGGACCTCAAGTTGAAATGAATGCAAAGTGAAATAAGACAGAGAAAAATAAGTACTGTATGACCTCACTTATATGTGGAATTAAAAGTGAAATAGAACAAAAAAATAAGCTCATAGATAAACAACAGATTGGTGGTTTCCAGAGATGAGGGGTGAAGGAGGTAGAAGAAATGGTGAAGGGGGTCAAAGGTAGAAGCTTCCACTTATAAAATAATTAAGTCATGGAGATACAATGTACAGCATGATGAGTATACTTAATAATACTGTATTGCATATTTGAAAGGTGATAAGAAAATAGGTCTTAAAAGTGCTCATCACTAGGAAAAAAAACGTATTGGTAACTATGTAGGGGGACGGTTGTTAACTAGACTTACTGTGGTGATTATTTTGCAATGTACAATACGTCCAATCATTATGTTGTATACCTGAAACTACTATAATATTACCTGTCAATTATGTCTCGATTTAAGAATAATTCTGAAAAGAGAGATTACAACACAGCCTGAGGGGTGACCCAGTGAGGAAAACAATGAGAAGGTCGTCACCTGCGAGCCAGGGAGCGAGGCCTCAGCGGAAACCAAACATGCTGACATCTTGATCTTGGACTTCTAGCTGCAGGGCTGTGAGAAAATCATCCTCTGTTGTCCAGGTCATCCATTCAGAGCTGATTGTTACGGAAGCTCTGGCAGGCTGATACAGCGGTCCTTTCAGGTGCTGCCCATGAATCACCGTCCGTGACCAGGCCTGGGGGTCCTTTGTGTTCGCGCCACGGTATTCGCCACGCCGTGCCCAGGAAAGCGACCCTCCCCCATCCCACCAGGTTCATCACCAGAAGCTGAACACATAGGACAGGGGATATCTGGACTTAGCCTCCCTGATCGCACATTTATTCCCTACAGATGCACAGGAAGGTGGAATTTTACACAGCAAAGAAGGCCCGAATTTAAAACTCCTACCGTGGACATATGCTCCTTCTGAAGAAAGCCTTACCAGTCATTACTGTGTCAAGACCCTACAGTTCAATCCATGTGGCAAGAACCAAATAGACGCTACTACCTGTCTCCAGCTGGATAAGCCAGAAAATTGTGACCAGGCTAAAGGCGACCAGACACAATCAGGGAGGCAAGACCCTCTGAAGGGGCTTGGCTCGAACCTGCACCCAACAGGGGGACTCAGGCTGCGTGGACACAGGCTGGTCCACATGGAGGGAGGAATGCTGGGTAGGTCACACTGTGTTAGCCATGGTGCCTACAGCCCATCCCAGTCTGGGGAGCACTGGGGACCGCAGAGTCCTCACATACCCTGGCTCTCTTAAACCCTGTTAGCAAAGGTAATTGGGGGAAGTCTTTCCTGATGAGAGTAATGAGTCAGACTGGTACAGAGCGATGCTATTCTTTTCCTCAAAGGGTGATACTTGTCTTTTTTCCAAAACATCTATGACTGATGATCTAGGTTGCCATTCAGACCACCCACCACACCACAGGTGATAAACTCCAAAACCATCAAAAAAGGAATATCATGCAAGCTGCATGTCTTTTTTTTTTTTTTTTTTTAGATTTTTATTTATTTGACAGAGAGCGAGATCACAAGTAGGCAGAGAGGCGGGTAGAGAGAGCAGGGAAAGCAGGCTCCTGCTGAGCAGAGAGCCCGATGCGGGTCTTGATCCCAGGATCCTGAGATCACGACGGGAGCCGAAGGCAGAGGGTTTAACCCACTGAGCCACCCAAGCGCCCCTGCATATGTCGTTTTAAATGTTCTAGTAGTTACATTTAAAAAGTAAGAAAAAACGGGTGAAATTAATTGTAATATTATATTTCACTTAACCTGGTATATCCAAAATATTGTCATGTAAATATGTAATCAATATGGCATTATTTTTTTAAAAGATTTTGTTTATTTATTTGACACAGAGAGAGAACACAAGCAAGGGGTGGGGAGAGGGAGAAGCAGGCTCCCTACTGAGCAAGGAGCCTGATGTGGGGCTCATTTCTAGGACCCTGAGGTCATGACCTGAGCTAAAGGCAGATGCTTAACCAACTGAGCCACCCAGGTGCCCCTCAATATGAACTTATTAATGAGATATTTTACACACTTTTTTCTTTCATATTGTCTTAAATCTGGTGTATTTCACACCACACATTCCAATTTGCATATGAAATTTTCATTGGAAACACTATATTTAGATTACACAAAATTTACTGTTGAAAAAAGAAAAATCACATCTGGATGTTGTTTCAAACACTGAAGTTTTCAGTAACTGAATGGAGTATCGGTTTCTTAATTCAAAGTTAATTAAAATGAAATAAAATTGTGATGCAGTCACAGCAGCCACGTTTCAGGTGTTCTGTAACCACATGTGGTTGGTGCCTACTGCATTGGACAGCCCAGGTCCGGGGGCTAGACATGTGCCTTCCAATTGCTTCTAAACCTCAAATTGTCTAATGGGGTGCTAGGCACACTGAAGGTGCTCGATAACTCGTAGCATCGGGGCAGTTGGAAACATCAAAAATCCGTAAGACTCAGTAGCCCAATTCCCTTGTTTTAGAAGGGAGACAACACAGAATGAGAGAAGGTAATGGGCTAGCAGCAGAGCACACAAATGAACTAGTTGCTGGGTATCTGCACAAGAATTGAGGTCTCTTGATCCTTAATCCCAAGGTCTTTCTATGTCATTGCCTTAGCCATACTTCGGGGCGGGGGGGAAACCCAGATTTTAAAATTTATTTGAATAATCACTTGAATGATGTGGACAAAGAAATATTTATAGCCGAGTTGTAGTTGCTAAGCTGATAAAGACAATTCTAGACTATCTAAGGGCTCCTTCCACTCTGTCTGGGGTCTAATCTGTCAGTCCGTCTACCTTGGTCTGTCACCGCTTGGAGCTGCCTCACTGCACATCCGTCTGTCTTGCCCTGCCCCAGTACATCCGGTCACATTTTCTGGTCTCCAGCTGTCTTCTGCCAGCTGCCTACCACAATTTGCTTAATGTTGTGCTTCAGAGAATCCTTTATATTTGCAAATCAAAGCATTCAGTAGAAACTGCAGCAAAGTTGGAGAAGAGCTTCTACCCTCCAGCCATGAACAGAACCCTGAGGTCCTGCCTCCTGGTAGCTGCAAGAGGGAGCGGATGTATGCGTGGTTAGGTGTGTGGCATCAGGCAGACCTGCATTCGTGTCTCAGTTCTGTCCTGTTCCTTTCGTGTGACTTTGGGCAACCCTCAGTTTCCTCATCTGTGAAATGAGGATAATAATAATAGCTACTTCTGTGAGATTTAAGTACAACAGTGCACATGGACCCCATTGCTGGACAAGGGTACGCCCTCAGTTCATGAGAGGTTGTTATTTTGCAGGGATCGGAGTTACATGTATTTGGAGGGTTATGTAAACTTGGCTCACTCACAGCATCTTGTGACTAGAAAAATGCCTGAAACATAGTAGGTCCTAAATGAATGTCCGTCTAATGACTTTATAAGATACTTATGGTTTCCCTCACCTTTTAAGATTGACGTTAAGAGAAATGTTTGGGGGAGGGGGATGTGATAAAGTCACTGATAAGGAAAGAGGAGAGGGAGGTGGCTGCTTCTGCCTTCAGCCTCCCCGTGGTGGAGGCACCCAGGTTCGAAATGAAGCTGTGGGATCGACAAATGTTGCCGTCCAGGGCTGTGCACGATAAAGGAATTAGAGTCGCTCATGTCTAAAAGGAAGTAGATATTGAGTAGAACAAAGACATAAATGTAGGGTGTAAAATCATCACTTACTTGATTTGAGTAGATAAATGCCTACTAGTTCTCCCCCTAAAATCTCCTTTCTTTCTATTCTCCTAGGAAACTTCCTCTACCAATGGCATATTCCATCAACCATGACCTGATGTCCCATTCCCCAGGCAAATAGTAAAGCTTCCAAGAAACTTCCACTGAATCAGTTTTCTTAAAACAGACAGCAGTAGGTAAAGATAAGGCAGAGCCAACTTTTAACCCCCACCAACTCCCTTTTTGGGAATGGTCCTTGCCTCAACTGGCTTAAGGTGACATCATGAGCATTGAGAGGTCAATCTAGTCCACCAGCTGAGTACATTCATGGCACAAAAGTGTTGGTAATTTGGGAAATGATAATATTAATGACTATCACAACACCCCTAACACGATATTCAAAGCATCCTTGAGTTTTTGCTATAGTTAGCTTTACCTCTAAGTCTATAGAATAGCATTTCATAGCTTCATTTTCACAAAAAAGGATGTAGGTATACAGCTGTTTAGAAACCCTTTAAAGGGCACATATTACTAGCTGTGAGACCTTGAGTATGTAATAATATATCCATGCCTCTCTTTCTTTTCATCTGTAAAATGGAAATGATAATATACCCCACAGGATAAGACTAACAATAGCTTATAAATAATGAACCTGACATTGTTTTAAATGTGCTATTTGTGTTTACTCATTTAATACTCACACTCCTATAAGCAAAGTGCCAAGTTTTCCTCCTTCAGAGAAAGAAAACTAAGGGACAGGGAAGTTACATAGTCTGAGTCACTAGTGGAGTTGTCACCAGGAGAGCCAGGAGTCAAGCTCGCCCTCTACTATCTGGTCCTTTACTGTGGACTACTATTAAATAGTAGTGGGTATTTAATAGCTATGGTGATCAATAATAGAGTAGAGGGTTCTTGGGTGTTTAATTCACCTTAGTGCCTGGAGTCCCTGATCTTTTCATCTTTTTGTTTCCTCTCACAACTACCATTCCAAAATTTTTTCATTTTAGAAATATAAATATAATATAAATTACAATATATATATTGTATATGACACATACTATATATATAAAATATATAATATTTTATAATAAAATAAATAAAATGTAATATTTTATAATATATAATATAATTTTATTATATATAAAGTATATATAATAAAAATATAAATACAAATATATAACAAAAGCAAGAAGAAGGGGCTAGAATGACCCATGTGCTAATGGATTAAAGTTAGAGACATTGGTTTGAACAATGTTGAACTTAACATAGATGCAAACGTTTACACGTAGAAATATTTATAGATAGGCATAGATATGCGTCAGAGCATGTAGAAGCAATGACAGTACAAGAAGCATACCTACCGCTCAGGCCTTGCTTTCCCATATGATTCTCTAATAAAAGGAACCAAGGCTCCTTGGAGAAATTGATGTTTCTAGGAAGAGGGAAGGAAATATGTCAAAGGGACCCAGGAGCCAACTGAAAGAGCTCCCAACGACCAAAGCTGGGACAATCTGAGCCACCGTGTTAAATATATAAAGTAGTATTGGATTATAAACCAAAGAGTAACGTAGATGTGCATGAGTATGTACTAATATAGAAAATGATTGAATAAGTAAATAAATCTTCCCTACATACAGAAGAATTCTGAATAATTTATATAGCTACTCTTCAAGTTGATGGAGTGCACTCCCCCCTCCTTGAGTGTGGGTTAGGCATAGTGACAGTCTTCCAAAAGGACAGTGTGGAAAGGTAGGGGAAAAATTAATTTTACAGTGAAAAACTTCTGACAGCCGGGTGACAGTCACTTACCTCAAGCCAAGTGTCAAGGTTAACAAATAATCACAAATCACGTTAACAGCACCTATCCTTCACATGGTATAAAGACGATGATATTTGGTCTCTGTCGTCTTCCTCCTCAGAACTCATAACGCCCATTTACCCATGAGAAAAACATCAGATAAATCCCATTTGAGGGACATCCTACAAAATTTCTGGCCTCGTCTCCTTAAAACTGTCAAAATCATCAACAAGAGAAATCTTTTAATCAAAAGAAACAAACTGAGGGTTGCTGGAGGGGAGAGAGTTAGGAAGGATAGGGTGGCTGGGTGATGGACACTGGGGAGGGTATGTGCTATGGTGAGTGCTGTGAATTGTGTAAGACTGATGATTCACAGACCTGTACCCCTGAAACAAATAATACATGATATGTTAATTTAAAAAAAAAGGAGGGGAAGTCTGAGAAACAGTCACAATCGAGTGGTATCTAAGGCAACGTGATGACTAATTGTGGTATCTTGCATGAGAGTTTGGAACAGGAAAATGCCATTGAATAAGAACTTAATAAAGTATGAATTTTAGTTAACAATATGAATTAATATCAGCTAATTAATATCAGTTCATTAATGTAAGATACTACTAGGGAAAACTGGTTGCAACATAGTCTCTGAACTATCTTTGCAATAATTCTGTAAATCTAAACTGTTCTAAAATAAAATAGTCGTGTAAAAGAATGAATGACTCTCGGGGCGCCTGGGTGGCTCAGTGGGTTAAGCCTCTGCCTTCGGCTCAGGTCATGATCTCAGGGTCCAGGATCTAGTCCTACATCGGGCTCTCTGCTCAGCAGGGAGCCTGCTTCCTCCTCTTTCTCTCTCTGCCTCTCTGCCTACTTGTGATCTCTGTCTGTCAAATAAATAAATAAATAAATCTTTTTTAAAAAAATTGAATAACTCTCATTGCTTAAAATACCCACATTTAGAGTTCCAGAATCAGAAATTAAAGCCAGAAATCATCTCTGCTGCTAAAGGAGAGGATAAATCCATAAAATAACCAAAATACAGGTGTGCCTGGCTGGTTCAGTCAGTTAAGCATCCAACTTTTGATTTTGGCCTAGCTCATGATCTCAGGGTGGTAAGATCTAGCCCCCTGTTGGGCTCTGCACTCATCGGGCAGTCTGCTGGAGATTGTCTCTCTCTCTTTGTCTCCCTCTGTGCCTCCCTCCACCTCTCTCTCTCTCTCCCTCAAATAAATAAAATATTTTAAAGAAAATAACCCAAATACAGTCCTGCCGTTATTTTTGCAGTCTATGCAAATTACTATACTAGCACATCTACGTTACTCTTTGGTTTATAATCCAAATATAGTAGTATATTTGATGTATAGTATATTTGATGCAGGCCCAATCCTGTCAACCTCTGAGAAAAATTTCCAAATTTTGAATAAAAATATATGTGACAGGAATGCAGAAAGGGATCCAAAGAGGGGTGCCTGGGAGGTTCAGTCAGTTAAATGTCTGCCTCTTTTTTTTTTTTTTTTTTTAATCCAGTATTTTCTAAAATCCTACGGGCCATTCAACAGGTCTGTAGCAGTAATTCAGCCCATTTCTGAGTCCCCTCCTTTTGTCAAAGGGATCCCTTTAAAACACCCAAGAGCAAGCAGAGGCTGACACTAGCAAGGGGGAACTATCCTCCCATCCCCACTTTCTGCTGTAAAGGTCCTAAATTCCAGTAAACTGGGTCTGTTGGGGGAAGGCGGTTTAACTCCAGCTTTTTTTTCTTCGACAACTACTGTTGTTAGTGAAGAATTTGGGATTTGGGGTAATTTAAGGGATATTAGTCTGACTGTCTCAGGATGGGAGGGGGTATTTGTGCTATATCCCCTAACCCGATTCCTATTCAATTCCTAAACTCCCTGGAAACAACCATGCTTGAGGGCTAGATCAGGGCCTCCTGGAATATTCCAGAAAAGCAATGAGGTCGTGATCCTGCAGAGGCAGGGCTGAAATCAGAGAGCATGAACCCAGAGTCCCAGGATGGAGCCCCCCATCCGGCTTTTTGCTCAGTGGGGAGTCTGCTTCTCCCTCTGCCCCTCACCCCACTCACGCTCGCTCTCTCTCAAATAAATAAATAAAATCTTAAAAAAAAGAAGGGGATCCAACGAATTGTATGTGTCAATATAATATAAACCATCTAATTTCCATCACAAAGTGAATCTTTCATCTAGCAAGTCTCAAACTGTAGTAGGGAGACTCTACACCTTTTTAGGCAGTCCCCAAAGTCAAAATTATTTATACCCTTTTCATTCTTATTCTCTCACAAGTGTGTAATTCTGTTTTCCTAAGACTTCAGAGTGTGTGACATAACAACAAATTAGTGTAAAAGCAGGTATGTTCTCATATCTGCCCATACCTGACTCTTTTCTATTAAGCCAGAAATTAGATTACAAAACATGTAAAACAAATGCCACCTGTATCATCACTTTCTTTTGTTTTGCTTAATACAATGATTTTCATAAAGCATGTCATTTATGTTAACGTATAATTTTTGTTATCTTAAATGAATTAATAAATACATTTAAAACTTCTCTTTTAATTTCTTATATGCTGAAAATAGGCAATTACAACCCACATAGGTAAAAATCCCTTTGGGGTTCTTTGTAATTTTGAAAACTAGAAAAATTGAGAACTACTGGTCTAATCATAGGGACAAGTTTGGTCTCCCTGCTTTGGAACTCACGTCATTCCATGGATACATTGTATCTTCCTCCCTCCAGTATTAGAGAATTTCTCACCTTTGAGTCTGAGGAGGCGAAAGTGCCAAATACTCACGCTCCAGCCTCACGTGCAGCTCGGGCGGGAGTAGTTACCCCAGGTTCTATCAACCACCTGTACACGCCTGAGCCTTGATCTGGAGCAAGTGAGGCTAGAGCCAGGAGCAACTCAGTGACAGAAGGAGAAGTGGCAGGGAAATAGGTCCCTGAAGGGACACTTCTTGTGGCCTCTCCTTTTTTTTTTTTTTTTTAATTTTTTTTAAGATTTTATTTATTTATTTGACAGAGTGAGAGAGATCACAAGTATGCAGAGAGGCAGGCAGAGAGAGGGGAAGCAGGCTCCCCGTTGAGCAGAGAGCCCGATGCGGAACTTGATCCCAGGACCCTGAGACCATGACCTGAGTTGAAGGCAGAGGCTTAACCCACCCAGCTACCCAGGCGCCCCATTATGGCCTCTCCTTTGTCCACTCTCAGTGGTTTCTACAGCACAAACCGTAGCCTAGAATCCCACTGGGCGGCAGGAGTGTTGTCTTCACCTGAAAAACCCATGTGTGTGATTTTGAATACTATTCCTTGGTTATCTTGCCTTGACCCTGGTTCTCCAGGCCAGATCTC